TCGGTAAACGGATCGGGCGATCGTTCCGTCTTCTCTTCGCCTCATGCTGATGTCGAGGAAATTCAGTGTGTTGTTGGCTTCCGATTCCATTGTGAAGCGAATATTTGGATGTAATCTATCAAGTTCATTCAAAATTACTGTAGCTTCCTCTAGGCTTTCTGTTATCACAAGGGTGTCGTTGACGTATCGCTTGTACAGGATTGCACATTCTAGAATGTTATTTGCCTTCTGTTCGAGATGTGCCATAAACGGTCTGCCAGGACCGGGCCTAACGGACTTCCTTTAGCGACACCATTAATTTGCCTGTACGCATTTCCTTGAAACGTGAAAGACACATTGGTTGTGCAGGGTAGTAATACACGCTCAAGCACTGACACTGGTAGTTTCACTCGGATTTGATTATTCTCTATATGATCGCAAATGATTTTTAAGACTTCACGAACTGGTACATTGGTAAAAAGGGATTGGACATCAAATGAAGCCATGTGTTTTCCTTTGACGTTTATCTTGTCCAAAACGTCGATCAATTCGAAACTGTCCTTGAAGGTAGGTTTCACCATTGATCTGTGGACTGGTTCTAACACCTTGACCAGCCATTTAGCCATTTTGTGCTGTGGTGAGTTCGTCATGGACAGGATTGGCCTGAGTGGTACGCCAGGCTTATTGAGTTTTGGCAGGCCATAAAGTTGTGGAATATGAGTTCCCCTAAACTTCAGAACCCGGGCAGTGTTCTCATCAATGAAATGCCCCTCCAATAAGAACTGAACTTCAGAGGCAATTTTAGATGATTAGAATGTTGAGAGAAGATTCAAGCGGGAGATAACGCATTTACATAGACTGAAGTTACAAGAATAATGAGAAGATGCATGAAGGCCACTGTTTGCGACACCCAGCCATATCGCTCAATGTCTCTAACCATCGGTGACCATAATCTCTGGGTCCCCAGCCAGGGTGCCTAACGGGACCCATGTGAGTTAGTCTCCTGGTCAGGGCTTTCATACCCTCATACCCTCATGACAGGTACAGACGATACTCAGACAAGAACGATTCAACCAAGTTAGAGGAAAGAAAAGGGTTGTTGTCTGACAGGCACAGGTGCGCATACCAGAATGGGATACGTATGAAGGGGCCGGGTTGCACGGAATGTAGTATCGATGGGTGCATATATATAAGTTAATATTCTACATTTTTGCTACTAACTACAAGAAATACTGTTGCAAACGTGATCGATCAAAGACGGTCGGTTGTCCTCTACTTTATAAAAATTGCCTATGGTGGAAAGTAGGAGTAAACTCAAGGGTAACGGGACATACTGTTTGTTTGTGGAAATCAGTAACCCAAGCCCAGACACCAGAGGTGGAGAACCACATTAGAACATGATAGGATAATTGTAACGAGTCGGATGATAGCTAAGTTATGGCCAAAATTGGGCGGACGAGGTGGAGTTGGGTCTTAAAATTTGAAACCCAATGACAGCGATTTACACTCAACGCTTAGAAGCCGATGATAACGACGAGGGACCATGAAAGTTCTTCAGAGTTTATTTTAGTTAAAGTTCCTGCTACAACTACGGCGAAGGTTTAAATCCAGAAGTTGAAAAAATGACCAAACTGCAATTGAAAAATAAATTACCGTGAACGTCAGTGTGCAAGGTAATATCTGTCTGAAGCCATGAGTGAATAGAGAGCAAGAAAACTCGTTTGAAATGATGTCGATTAGCGATCATGCATATTTGAGAGACAAGCATCTGGATAAAGTCTCATGGAGCTGGAACCACATTTATAGTTCTACACTTGCATGTGACCGTTTCACTCCACAGTTTGAAATATTTCTGTCTCAACCGCTCGCCACCGTACTCATCACGCAATTAAGCTACTGTGGTCTCCAATCATTCGGATGCACAATGCACCCAATTTGGTGTTACTTAGTCAGTTGGAATGTTCGGTATTCCGTTAAGACGCCTTAATCTAAATGAGCAAAAGTAAATGTAACCTAAATCAAGAAGTACGCATGAGCGAAATAAAGTTAACATTTNGAAACCACGTACATTCGTTTCCGTTCATCCCAGTTTTGAAATACTGTACACTGATGATTTTCCTAAAAAAAGAAGACTATGCCTGTAGTCAGAATAATACGGACTGACGTTCTTTATCTGTGCGACGAGTAGTGATCAATGAAGAAGTACAAATGACACTTCAAAGTACCAAAACTCAATACCAAGCCTTGTGGATAACCCAATTCTTGCACCGCTACGAACGAATATATCATCTGTACACAGTAAGGAGGGCAGTGACCTCATGGCACGAGGGTCTGAAGAACACTGTTTTGTTTCGAAGAGCGAAATCTTTGAGGATATTCGGTGCGAACAAATCTACGCATTGCCTGTGTACGCTCAGTTGCAACGGGGCACTGTATCAAGGAAACAATCACTGCTTGCATAGAAGAGTAGGCCATGGCAGAGGGGTGTCAGATTATGCAACGCTGAAGTTAGGGGAGTAGCTGGGAGCCACTCCGAATAGCTTGTGAATGTGTACTGCATTAACGAAACTAGGACCCTATGTTCGATTATCAGCAACCTGACCGGAGATTCACAAAGATACAGAAACAGTAGGACAATGCCTTCGAGATTTTCAGTGATCAGTGAGATATTTATCTGGTTTTATACGTCCAACTCTCAGTCCAAAATATCGGTATCACAAATTCCACTGGCTATAGGTTAAAAACCATGTGTCAAGTCAAAGTGCCAGTGTGAGTTATCGTCGTTTTGTTTCGGAGGTTGGGTTTAAATCCCATTATTATCACCCCTTAATTTTCAGTCTTTCTTAGGTCTCAATTAGAGTGGCTACCTTCCAAAAATTGTATGCGTCATGATGTATTCATTAAAAGAGGCAGAAAAACGGAAGGGCTTTGAGAATATCAGAAAACGGAAGTATGTTAATCTCATCTATGAGAGCCGTTTGATTTACACGGAGAAAAAACAATTACATGGAACTTAATATTTATTGGAATTTGTTTGATTTGCATTAATCATCGTCACTGTTAGCAAGAGGTGCACACGTGTGAACGGGAAAGGGGCGCATGTCACTTACCATTAGTAGATCCTTACATTCGGGCCTTTGTACCGGATCTTTTAATAAACATCGAGCTAGAAACTCTTGCATTTCCGCAGACCTTGCCGAGAGAAAAAAATATGACGAAACTGATGGATTATCAGACAGCACCAAAAGTGGGAAGTCAACAGAAAAGCAATTCATACAGGAAGCAAAAATGAATAATTTACTATCTGTATCTAGATGCATGTATTTATGGTAAAAGGTAAGTAGTTAAAATAGGATAACGAAAGTGCAGGGATCATGATTGTAGTAACTGAATGGGATCTGAGAACTGATGAGAATGAGCAGCTCAATAGAAAATCGGGAATAAGTGAGTCCAGATAAGGCGGGTGTATGTGTTGTATCTCTCTGCATTCACCCGTATTTATCTTTTCTCCAAGCCATCATCATGAGCTCTTTTTCCTTTTCTTAATTGCAAGTAAACTTCAATGCACAATGTATAGGAAAACTGATGGCTACGAGCAGTGCCTCTGTGTGATGAAAAACCCGCAACTCCACACACCTCCCCAAGGATTTGAGGTCTGGAGAGACGAAACACAAAGGTTTTAATGGTATGGACGCGGTCTTATGCCAGGTACCAGCGGAAACGTCTGAAACATTCAAGTGGGCACAAACAGAGATGAGATTCGAGCAAGTGCGCCTCTGACAGACATACCTGGGTAACTGCGATGTAGGAAGAGTGAAGGGAAATGATGTGGAATGATTGTAGATCAATATGCAGATGTTGTTGTTGGTGCGGTCTCCGAGCTGGAAGTGTTGTTCACAGACGTTTCGTGGCCAGGCTAGGCAACATCATCAGAGCAACTTGATGTGACCTAGCCTGACTAGGAAACGTCTGAGAACAATGCTTCTAGTTGGAAGGATACAACAACGAAAACAGGAAGTGTGAATGCTAATTTCGATATCCCTGAAAACAGGATTCGGATCTGTTCTTGCTTTCCCCATTCCCCGTTGTCCGCCAAACAAATGAAAAACCAAATAGTAGATGGGCCCACGACCCGCGTACCGATAAGAATGGAGTTGAACAACGTCCTCCCAATGAAGGAAATGTTATATAGGTCGCAGAGACGAGAAAAAAATGAACAAAAGTAATTCTATACATCAGGCGGACAAAGAATTACTGTTCTGCACTGCAGGGAAAAGCATTCAACTAAACGCAAACCAAAAAAGAATCTAACATTTTCATGTATTGTACAGAGCACAGCATCCAGTATAAACACACCAATGCATGTTCCAATAGAAACAGTTCTGGCGTGAGAATGACTTTGCCAAGGTGCACAAAATAGCTGATGCACAAGCGTTGCTCGTTCACGGGATTTGCATACCACATGCAAGAAAAGACGAACCTTAGAGACAATATCGCCAAATTGAGAACAGAGCTGGGGTGTTACTGTTTGGAAGATGTGGAGCCATTAGCACACGGAATTATACTGAATCACAAGAAGTGTCCTGTAAAAAACCATCCATATTCTAACCGAAGCAAAAAACCGGTGAAGACCAAATAGCTTCCGCATTACTTTTTCGGACAAATAATTGGGGTTAGCTAAAGCCATAGCTGATTTCGTTTCCAAGATACACATTAAAGTACAGATTCAGGGTCGAATAAACTCAGCTAAGCGGTTACATACCTATGTTTATCGCAGGCGTTTGGCCTTAGCAAATGGCGCTTCAGGTATCACTGGGAATTTTTGAGGGTGTGTGGTCTGCTGACTGACTCACAGAAACCTTCCACCAGTCAGCCAATAGTTCTATCTGGGCGGCAAGTAATACACACTCCAATAACGAAGGAATCACAGTTAGCTGGTTTAGTTTATCGTTTCTCCGAATACAATAATGAGATATTTGATGAGGCAAAATGTTAGATGACCACGCCTTCGAACTATGGTATTTTTGATTTGTTGTGCGATGATCTATAAGGTTAGTTGCGCAGACGGCACATTAGGACTGGTAGTCTTCGCAGGAAAGCAAATAGCCAACTCGTATATTACGATTCTGAATGAATTTCTCCTCCTTGTAAGCTGAGAAGATCTGCAGGGTTTTATGTTCTTTCCAGTAACACGCCGCCGTGATGCATACGATCCACGTGAACCGAATGTGGTAGTCATGCCAACACATCCAGACCAATGATTGGTCCGACCACAGTCCTGATTCGAACCCCAATGAAAATGCACACAGTTTGCTGACTAGGCAAGTTTATACGAACGGAAGAATATTCAATAAACCCCACGAAATAAGATTTATGAAGCTTAATGGGTATTGGAAATTCGGGATTCAAACCCCTGGAAATTTTAATGTATGCATGATCGAAACACGCTTTCACTTTCGGGAAAGATAAATGCCGTTGTATTTAATCATGAGGTTTTTTTCAAACATTCAGTGCAGGGGATGCGTCTTATTATCCTGTGTAAAATCGATTTTTCTTAATCAAAGTTCAGACCAACATAATGAGCAGATACACAAGATACACAAGCATCCCACGCATATACTTTGGCAAGAAATTTCAGAAAAACGGGGCTGCGACAAAAGCATTTTGTACACCTTATATTCCTGATGATGTTGCCTAGCCTGGCTACGAAATGTCAGCGAACAACACTTCCAGCTCGGGAAACACACCAACACCAACAGTGGTCATAAATATTAAGCAGTTCTGATTCCAGATGAGCGACGAAACAGTACGCTACCTTCCAAGATGACAGTCGTCGAGTAACAATCTTCGAGATTGACTCATCTTACCTTTTCCAACGAAATGCGTCAAGTCAATCGATTGACATCGGATAGCCGAACTGATTTACGTTCGGTTGAATAACTCCTTCATCTAACATGTGAATTTTACAAAGCGCACACATTCGATGGTTTAAAACAAAAGCCATACCGGTTTCACTTACCACAAATTCGGTTTCTTCAATTTAGGAGGATCGGACTTTGTAATTTTCAAAAGAACACGAGTGGGATTGATTTCGTTGTAAGGCGGTCGCATCTCGGCGAATTCAATAACTGTAATACCTGTAGAAACAATGCACGTGGCAAATAAAATCCGAAAGAATGCGCATAATTAGATTTTAATGGCCCCATAAAGCCGGCGATTGAAAAATCCATATGGGGGCACAAAGAATGGGTAACATTATGGTGACAACGCATTGCTGTAATAATCCGTGCAGGTTAAGAAATGTCATCTAACGTGACAAAAGAACACGGTTCTGGTTTGAGGGAACAGAAATGCATTCGTCTTAAATTGAGATCACTCGACTGAGAGAGAGAGAGAGAGAGAGAGAGAGAGAGCAAATACGAAGCAAAACAGAGCACCTGTGTGAAGTAGGTCAATAGAGAACCAACACTGGGACATTGGGGGGGGGGGNAGACAGAGACACTATTTGGAAACTCCACTGAATATTTCAAATCATCTCATTTGATCACATAAAACGGACAATGCAAATGGATGAACCGCTATTGCTGGCAGTGCGTGACTGTATGTTCCGAAGTAATTAGCTGAACTCATTTTACTACGAATGGCTCTTTGAAGAGGATAAGAGGGCTTCCAGAATGCTGCTGATCGCAACTGTTCGTGGCGAATGTCATGCTTAAGGGTAGAATGTAGACAGCATGATTATGAAATCTCCGGGCGATGCGACTGTACAGCATCACCCAACTTGAAATGTTGATCATCTCGTCAGTAGGCCTCTTATGGTGTAGCATGGTTTTATGTCACGACCAATCAGTCGTATGAAAAGTGGCCGTGGGTTACACAGAGACCGGTAATTGGTTATTTGGCCATGACACATTGTACGGTTGATTCATTAGGGATGCTATCTGCGATTATTTCTAAAGCCACAGAACAGAACACGAGAGTTCTGAAATGGCAAACAGTACGTTATTGTAAACGTCTACAGTAGTGTGAATGAGCGACCAATAAATTCACACAATTTCATTGTGACTCAGATCCACCAAGAACAAATAACTGTTCATAGTCAGTAGCAGCAATGCACCTAGAACTACGTGATCATCAAGCTGCTTATATTGGCATCACAATCACAGCGCAATGGCTAACGAAAATTCGCAAACTAGTGGGCAAAACGGATTGCTAAGAACACAGTGTGATATCTTAAAGTCGATGGAACACCCTCGACGAAAGAACGGATTTGTGATGGGGCACCCCCATGGTCCACCCCCGGTTTCTATGTTTATGGCTTAGCTCAAATCAGAGGACAGAAATTACCCGAACCAAGTGTTAACCGCTATCACTTTGAACTGTTCAGTAACACAAAAACAGATGCTACTGTGGAAAGATGTAAAGATGCAAACGCAGCTACAAAATTCACTCCGGAGATAGACAGGTAGAGTCAAATATCATCCCTAGGCATTCATCTAGCGACAGTTTATGGAAAAGATTGGGCAGTACACACAAACGTTTTTGTGCAAATGAACCCCAAAGTCAAAGGAATTTGCTTGGCTGAGTGAGAGTAGTGGGGAATTTGATTTGATTACATGATGAACTGAAAAATGGGAAGCATTGGACAGCTGTTTCGATCTGGTTAAGTCTGATCAGCATTGCGAATCCATCGACCCGACTATAGACCGAACCCAGGATCTCACAGGTAGAACGTAAGCATACTACCCACTCGGCCATCGGGCAGCTGATCAGATCGTGTTACATATTGCCTAGACACGATATAGCACAACCTATGTTTGTGAGCTTCATGTAGGCATCATATCATGCGCATCTTGGCACTAGCTTCAAGGATTATTATTCGGTTGGAAACAATCTTAACCAAATGACATGTCGCATTTGCTTCGTGTGAGCGCTCGAAAGCAAGCCTTCGTGCTATCGATACAAAAGGTTTTCTGTATCCCTCAGCCCAGCACAGAATGCTCACAAAAATGAGGGCACGATTTATTATCGTAGAGAACCGAGACAGATTATCATGCATCCGATCACAAAGACAGTGCAATGCTGATGCACCGGACGTACCGAAGGACCACACATCCGCTTTCCAATTGTACGGGCTTTCTTTAAAGGTTTCGCAAGCAATAACCTCTGGAGCCATCCAATAAGGTGTTCCAATAAACGTATCCCGTTTTTGTTTTTCATTGGCCAGATGAGCAGACACGCCGAAGTCAGCTGAAGAACGAAATAGATGACCAAGACAAATCAAAAGTATCCGAAATGAAAATCAATAGATCTAATCTGTCCAAATGAACACCCCAGACGAGGTTGAGAGACATAGTTATTCAACATTGATAAGCAATGCGCAGTTCTTAAAAATGAAAAAAAACTCGCTACTCTCACTACAAAAGACGGTAAAGTACTGAACGAAAAGCTCGCTTTAATCCCAAAATGCAGTTACTGCATTGGGAATGGTATCTCAATTGGTGATGCAACGTTCGCAATAAGACTGCCAAGCTCGGCGAACAACTGAATATATATATATATATATATAATTTTCAGAAAAAGGGAAGCAGTAAATCAAAGGGTGATTATATATAGAGAAAGGGGAAAGTTAGGTGGCGTTGTTACGATTGGAACACCTCCGACGTGACAAGATGGTGGCCTTCACTGCATGACCACAAAAGTGAAGGAAACGATTTAAAGAGCTTACAAGTTTGATCAAATTTGGTTACATAACGTACACCGTTCTCATGCAGCAGGTACCCGGTGTCGAAGAGCCTCAATGTAGTCAGGGTGTCTTGGGTTACAATCGGTCACCCTCCTCTTGTGCCTAACGAAATGCTCCTATACGACCAAACGTCTCAAACAGTCTTTACTATCATCACGTGGCGGAGGTGTTTTACCATCAAACTAAGAGGACGGAAAGCCAACATCCGACGATTGCGAGTTTCACACACTACACCAATACCTTGTGGGTCGGTCTTTGGTTAGCCAAAAGCTTCTGCTGTGAATTCCTTTAGAAAATGAACCCGTTTTATCTCGGGCAATCAGGCAATATTCTTCCCATGAGCAAATCATTAACCGATTTCTTTGTTATAAATATTGATGTGCCGAGATTTGTTCGGCACCGAGTCTGGACACGTACAAGAGTGAAATATAATAAAATAGAATATAAAGATACTGGACGGAGTAGAATGCCAAAATAAATCAATTTATCTATGTTCGGCATGCACTTCGTGCCTTCGAAGTGTGAAAGACTCGTAATTGGGTTAGTCCGGCTTCCCTCTTTTATTTCAACAGGAGGCAATAGAAAATGTGGATAAACTTCAATACTTGGACAACTACGTCTCCCGATGGACGAATCTCGGTTGCGGTTTAAGATACATACAAATGCCTCAGTTGTAGCTTGATACATTAGTACCTTTGTCTCCGCCGCGAGATTCTGTTCAAGACGAAGGATTGAGTGTATGCTGCAGCTATCCGGCCGATGCTGCCATGTGGTGTACAGACATTAGCGGAAAGGAAAAAGGATAAAAACAGACAACCCATTTTCGAACACCGCTGTCTACACCATATATTGCTAGCCTGGTTTGGAAACTGGGCTAGTAAGACAGATGTTCTAAGTAATTGCGGCTGCACACCGATCCGCAGGCTTGACCTCCATAGATTGTGAGGGCTGGGGCATGCTTCACAAATATTCCCAGATAGGCGTTTTTGGCCCGCGATACTTACCGAAACAGTGAAATAAAACCAACGGTATGAAAACCTTGACCAGGAGACTTGTACTTCAGTTTCTCGAATTGAGAGCCTCGTGATTAGTGCAGCCGAATGTTAGATATGACTGAGTAACGGAAGGCGCTCGTGCATTTGCTCATTTACACATCAGATCTAGTTTAATAGCGATCCGTATTTTTAAGCTGATAGTAATATCCCCTTTTTAACTCTTACATTAGTTTCCTCCTAGTGAGTCGGTTAAGATGGGCAACCGAAAGGCCCCAAACAAAACTGCTTTAAAACAGTGTACGGTTGATGGTTGCATATAAATTAAACGGAAGCGGAAACGACATCGCTATCTCGAGTAGTTCAATGACCATCGGTGTTTCGGTACGGAACTCAACAGAACAACTCGCTTTGCACTGATTCGCTCGAGATGGCGCTAACATCTTGCGAACTAAATGAAGACTCCGATTAAGCACACATGAAAAAGATAAGGAGCGCGTCAGTCCGAAAGCGCTGTATGGCATTTGAAGATAGAATCACAATATAATCTTACTTGGCAAAAGCGGTGCCGTAGACTGATGTGCATAGACAGCCGCAATCAGAAACATCCTCGAAGCCCACTAATTCTCATCCATAAGAAAGTACCATAAACGTGTTAGCAGTGGAAATTTGGCGAACCAGCTGGATGGAGTTTGGTGTCACTAATGCACATACGTCCAGTTTATCCATATTACATATCTTTATTATGATCTGTTTAGTTTATCATGCTCGAAACTCCTTTTTTAGTTGGTCATTATTGGGTATCACAATGACACGAACTGTGCCATCATATAACTTATTTCATACTAGAGATGTTAGAGAATAACTACTTGAATATTGCGAGGAGTGGTAGTGTGGAACATTAGTACAACGATCATAATTTAATAAACTGAAGCGTGACGGCAGCGCACAAGCAGCTGTTCATGATGCATAGTATTGCAAATAGTCAAAAATCCCCAGCGCACTTTCATATCAGAGATCGCATTCTCTCCCTCGCTCCTTTCTGAAGGGTCCTCACGTAGTGAGATTCTTACAGTATCCGCTAAGTAATTCCTACTAACTGGCCTCGTGTGGAGGTTAGTAATTTGAAGTGCAAGGTTAAAACAGTCAAATAGATTGATGATAATGATTCATGGGCAGCTAATTCATTAAAAATAGCTAGAAGACATCAAGCGAAGAGGTGTGAGCTTGAATTGACACATTCTAGAGATTGATGTAATGTTTGCCAAGCTCAAAAGGCTCCGGCGGGCATATTATTCATTTACAACCCTGTGAAGGCGAATGTATGCTGAAGACTCCTGAATTTACGGTTTGCTATGAAGTGAGAGAGAGAGAGAGAGCTACCCACTTTAACCGACACTTCAATTCTTCCAGCTAGTGAACAATGAACCAAAAGAGGACTGGCTACTCTGGTGTTCAATGGAGTCAAACATGCAAACAAGCATGCCGCGGATGCTACAACAATAATAGGAGGGGAGATTTGGGTACAAATGGAAAAGACAGCAGGGGAGAAATTCCAGAGGTAAATAGGATATAAACGAGAATTTTGTAGTGGCTTGAATAGGTGTTTGTGATTTCAACAAACAGACCGTACAGCACCCGCATCACTGATTTCTATCCAGTACTAGCTCTCCCAGTCTCTGACCAGCGATGATTTACGATCCTCGGATCCTAATTTGGCAGGCGGGTTGCATCAGCCAAAGTCAAAGCTGGTGCTAACTTCTTTATACCTCTATGCCATTTCATGGTCTGACCTCCGCGGTGTTTCTCCAAGCCTTGCACAGTAGAGAGAGACAGACGATGGGCAGGACATGGTTCAGCCATCGGGGGCGGTGTACAGCGATTTCTCCTTTCAAATAGTGACGATTAGCATCCGATACACGATGACGAACCACATCATTGCTCAGTCGATGTTCCCACCAAACACAATCATCGGTGATCGAATACGAAAAGTTGGTCAGCATCCTAAGCGCGAAGAGGCCAGGTTTTGCAATCGCAAAGTAAAACACCACGGCATTTTTCACAAGCTTTGTTACCTGTACATTAAACGTCAGAAGCACGGCTAATGAATGAACAGAAAAGTTACCAAAAAATTGATTGACTATGATGTTACTCAACAATGTGTCATTTTAGGAAGTACGTACCGAGCTTTACTTCGCCTGATAACGTAAGAAGGACATTTCCGGCCTTCATATCCCGATGAATAATCAAATTTTCATGCAGGAAGGCGAGGCCCATGAGAACTTCATGCGATACAAAGCGTATTTGCGGTTCATTTAGGGGTTGATCAAGAGTGTTCATGATGGAATCAATCGCTCCGCCACCACATAGTTCCAAATACATCTAGAAAATCTCTCAAAAGAGATCTTAAACTTACCCATAATTTGCTTTCGTATATGTACACCTCTAATAAAGACAGAACATTCGGATGCTTGAAGTTAGTCAAAATGTCGATCTCCACCATCAGATCCTCAAGATCGATCTCTGAATCAAACTCTACTTTCTTTAAAGCAGCTTGAATACTCGAGTTCTTTTTCACGGCCTATATTTTCAAATACGTTAAATCATGATATTGAATAAACATACCTTAAACACTTTACCGAAGGCTCCATCGCCCAGCTCATTCACGACTTCCCACTGATCCTCTGGATTGATGTCTCGCGTTATTCCATTTATTGAACTTTTTCTCTTTGGATCATCGCCGCCCTTGAATTTCTTCAACAACCCCTTGAAAAATGTCATCGTGAATATGTGTTTTGGGATTACGATAAACGATCCGGTTCAGCTCTTATACCGGAAAACTGTTTCACAATACGCTCGCAGAGTATAACACGCCAGGGATGTCCTTATCTGAGCCTGCTACCTAAAATGAAAATAGAACAAGAATTATCACTACAAAAATTCAACGAGAAGGATCCAGTTTTATCAGTTACGAGATCAAAAGGGAACAAGTTCGGATCCAGTTTTCAGTTTGAAAAGCCATCAATCATGCACTTTCGTGCGCCGGTTTTGGTTGATGTCTTTTGGCTGCCCATTTGGATCGAACAGAAAATTGACAAAATCAGTTCAGTTCAGATTTCAGGGTATGGGTTTTCGTACCCTCATTCCAGATCTTGAATTGACCACCCTGAGCATTATTCCATCCACTACCTGCCTCGGCAAACATCACTCGCCGTGGCAACCTATCTGGTGACATGCGTAACAGACCTCAATCAATGTTATCTATGGAGTTCGACCACTTGTTCCAGAGGGCAACAGCGATTACCTAAAACTGCGCCTGACCTCAGCATTGCTCGTCCAGCTACCCCACCAGATTCGTGCAATGCTACGTAGACAGCTGTGTTTAAACACCGACAGCCTATCTTTATCCTGTTTTCTTA